CATCTGTTGTTTTTTGATGTTTTATGAATGGCCATTCTGACTAGTATAAGATGGTATCTCATTGTGGTTTTGATTTGCGTTTCTCTGGTGCAAAATGGTGGATTTTTAAATGGGATTTGAATTTTAGATTTAATAGAAACTGCATAGGTGACTGTGCAAAGAACTCTTAAGATTTGACAGAATACAAATTAGATTATAATCTCCTTTATGTAGGAGGGGAAATAAAGAACAGAATAATAAGATATCTACATGTACAAAAATAGACGAACTGGCAGATTGCTGGTGTTGGATGGATGTTGAGCAGGGGTTGAGGACGTGTATGTGCATGCATGCACGGCCATGCACGGAGGCTGGTTGTTAGTGTCGGTAACAGCATAGAGCTTTGTGCTTCCGAACAAAAGATAAGCCACATCCCACTCAGGCACCCTAAAATGTTGTCCCCACTAGACACAAAAGAAAAGGGAAGCCAGAGATGTCTGTACCTTGTGCAGAGTTTTGGGAATAGCTAGTCTAGACTTTCTTAGTGAACAGTATGGAACGATAGTTGTGCAAGCCCAGTAATTTGGGCAAGGATCAGATTCTGTTGCTTTTGTTTCCTGGATGCTTCAGAATGAATATGAGATGGAAGTGGATGTCTCAAGTGCCTCTTGTCCTCATAAACCTCTTGGCAGCAGACATCTCAGTGGGCCCAGACCTTCAGCATGGCCAGAAGTAAAACACAGGGAAAGGGTACTCTGTCTTAGTTAACCATTTTTAAAAAAATGCATTTACAAAGCTTTCTGTTTTCTATTATATTCCAAGGCCTTTGAAAGACAAGGCCGTAAACACCCAGGAGATGTGATTTTATTCATTATAAGGTCCACATACCAAAATGTTTGTGATAAGGGCTCACCTTATATATCTTAAAATTAAACCAATCTCAATTTGAGGAATGCAGATTTTGGGGAGAAATTTATTACAATTTTTATTCTGAACACTTTAAATTATGATAGGCCTGAATAGTGTGAGCCTTGCCTTAATTGCAACCTGAGTCAGAATGACTGCCCTGCAGAGAATTATTTAAAATACCCAATCAAGTTATAAATTAGTCAAAATGCCATTCTGAGATATTATTCTTTTACGCAGTCTTTGCAGAGAATGCATGCTATATAGCCCTTTTTCATTCCCAAAGTGTAAGTATATATTCATTAAAGTTAGTTTTCACCTTTTTTGTTAAAAGTTTTTATCTATTAAAACTTTTAGAATTCATTTTGTAGTATACCCTCTTTAGGAATATTAAACATCTATCTACCTATTTATTAATAACTCTGAATAACCACATTTCACCCTTTGTGAAATCCTTTTTGGTTTTTGAAACTCATATGGGAGATCTTTTATTTTTATGCCCACAAGGATATAGAAGCTGGTTAAATTTATAGTGATTATTTAATTATGATAATATACATTTGATTGATATCAGTAAGAAATATTGATATCTTCAATATCATCATTTCTTGTAATGCTAAAAATTTACAAGTTGCCAATTTTTTGAATATGACTATATTTTCTCACACACACACATACACACACACACACGACAGCACTAATCATATTCTCTTAATGTACCTACAGATATTTAATCATTTACACAGCCACTATAATTGTATACTTCATGGCTTAGACCAGTAATTCTTACCTGGGGTTGGTTTTGGCCCCCAGGGGTCATTCAGTACTATCTAGAGACATTTTCCATAGTTAAAACTGGGTAGGAGGTGCCACTATCATCTAGTGAGTACAGTAGAGACCAGGGATGCTGCAAAATACTGTACGTTGTACAGACGATGCCCCCACGACAAAGAATTATATGGTTTATGATGTCATTTGTATTGCGATAGGGAAATGTTGGGCTTTAAATTATAGTAATTCTGTGCAAATTAGCCAAATTTCAAAAAATAAGGGAGTAAAAATGATAGCTGTCAACCTGTGAGTATTGTGAATGCTCAGCCTAGACTTAGTAAGTGTACAGGTGCCCTTTGGCCCATCTTCTTAGGTGGCTGCTCCTTCATAATCATTCACTGCCCATCAGGACCTTGTGGGATGTCAACTTAGAGTAGGGATTTGATCATCAGCTGGGTCAGTCATAACCAACATGTGACTCATAGTCTCATTCACATTGAGTTTGAGAATTTAAGGCATGGGCTGGAATTCCTCATGGAACTAACTTTATAAACCTTGGAAGAAATCCACCCACTAAATTCCACATTTATTGAGCTCTGTGTTTCAGGGACTGCACAATACCTTGAGGATACATACTATCTCATTTAGTCCCAAGTAGCCTTTACATACTTGGGATTAAATGAGATAGTATGTAATACCAAATGCTTTACAGCTACATGCGACTAAATGAGATAGCATGTAAAATCCCAAATAGTAGATTGGTAAAGTGAGGCCTAAAGAATTTGAATGACCTGCTGTCAGCCTGCTCAGCACTAACAGTGAGCTGATAGTACCTGGTGTCTCTGTACCCAGGAATTTTTTGGGCAAGTCTGTGTTGAGCATTGCAGCGCGTTGTATATATTGATTAGGCATCTTCTGTGCTCTTCAGCCTTTGCCTATCTAGGCACCCTTCCTGCTCTGCACAGCTCCATGAAGCAGGTGAGACACACCGTTTTACCTTTTTTCAGTCTGCAGAGGTCGACTTGCTTCCCTCAGCTCACAGAGGTAGCATCGCAGGACTCAGGTTCATCTGAATTATAAGTTGATGGCCTCACTGTTCACAAGAGCAAAGACATGGAATCAATCTATGCCCATCAGTGCTAGACTGGTTAAGGAAAATGTGGCACATATACACCATGGAATACTATGTAGTGATAGAAAGAACAAGATTATGTCATTTGCAGGAACATGGATAGAACTGGAGACCATTATCCTTAGCAAACTAATTCAGAAACAGAAAATCAAATACTGCATGTTCTCACTTATAAGTGGGAGCTAAACATGAGAACTCATGAATACAAAGAAGGAAACAACAGACACTGGGGCCTACTGGAGGGTGGAGAGTGGGAAGAGGGAGAGGACTACGAAAAATATCTATTGGGTACTAGGCCTGGGTGATGAAATAATCAGTACAAGTAACCCCTGTGACACAAGTTTACCTTTAAAATAAACCTGCATATGTACCCCTGAACCTAAAATAAAAGTTAAAAAACATTGTTGGTCTCATCAATTCCCTTGAGAAAGGCTCTGGAAGTAACAGCTACCACTAGTTAAAAAGCTTCAAGGAAGACCGAAACATCCAAACACGACATCACCTCTTTGTTTTTCTTGTCTGTCTCTTAATTATTCAGAAATGGGATTGCTGTATGACAGACATCCAGATGTTGTCTACAGTAGAATTCAGAGATAGAAGCAAACACATAAATCAGCTATTTGGTGAGATGCTATTTGTCACTTTCAAAATTAGAGTCCAGATTTTCAGTGCCTTTTCATCCAACTCTGGTGAACTTTTCCCAAGATGTTATGTACTATGGAATTTCTGCTGATGGTATTACTGTTCTGTGATAGATCCAGCTCCAGTATGTTTTATTAAAAAAAAAAAGCCTTGTGATGTATTCTGTTCAACTGACAAATGAAATGGATAATTATTTTCTGATGCAAATGCTATGAATAACCCCCGTATCCCTTATAAACACATTTGTGTATTTTCAGTTGAAGAACACTCTAAAGGCACCCTCCTTGCAACACCTAGTGAAATGTTTTCCGTCCCTAGAGGATCATTGAACATACTGTCCATTGCTGTGCAGCATTCTTTTATTGTCAAAGGAGCAGCGATTTATGTAGGGATAGTTATATTATCCATGTTAAGACAAATTGAGATGGCAACCCTTTAAAAGTTGACTCCAGGCTCAATGGGATAGTAACTCAAATGTAGTCTCAGCTTTTTAAATGGGCTGCAGAGTGAAGAGGATACCCTCTAAGGCATGCAGTGGCTTACTGGAAAGTCAGGATAATTGCATCAACACTTTTAATTATGAATGAAGTCTTCAAGAGACTAGCACTACAGCATGTACTTGAAATGGACCATCTTGTATAGTTTTTTACAAGGAAACTGAGATTCAGATCAGTGAAGTATATAGCCTAAATATACATGCACTTGACTAGACCAAAGAGAATTCCTGTCCAAACTCTACACTCTTTTCGTTTGATGATATTCCCTTTGTGACCTGATAAATATCCACATCATGCTGCCAGACTGACCTGAATACATGCTTCTATTTTCCTCACACTGGAAAACTCTTAGAGCTCCATGCATGTCCCCTCAAGAAAAAGTGAAAATTTCCTTAAACATTTGAGAAACAGTGTTTTGGGAGTACCCATATATTGATAACCAGTCTGGTAAACAATACCAAAACTGAGAGGTGTCTTTACTATCATCTGCATAACGTGTATAACTCTTAAACAACTGTTTGTTCATTCAACACAGACTTGTTGAGTGTTTTCTAAATGTCAGGCATTGTTCATGGTGTTAGGATATACAGCAAGAAACAAGACAAGTGATGCCCACTAGGCGTGGTGACTCAAGCCTGTAATTTCAGCACTTTGAAAGGTTTGTGGGGAGGATCTCTTGAGGCTAGCCTGGACAACATAGAGAGACCTGATGTTTCCAAAAAATTCAACGAATTAGCTGGATATAGTGGTGCATGCCTGTAGTCCCAGCTACTCAGGAGACTGAGGTGGGAGGATGGGTTGGGCCCAAGAGTTGGAGGCTGCAGTGAGCTATGATAGTAACACTGCATTGCAGCTTGAGCAATATAGGAAGACATCATCTCTAAAAAAAAAAAATAAAGACAAGTGATGTTTTTGCTGTCGTCTACTATGTGAAGATGGCACTATACACATTCCTATGCGAATGAATAGGAATTTCATAGAGAGATGTTGTGGATTGCATAGAAGAGCCAGCAAGTGTTTTATGTGGTAATCGTGTGGCTTCATTTTTCTTGTCTGCTTTCTTCCTCCTTTAGGCTGCGTTGGAGTTTTCATAAAGAATTGTCCCTGGAGGTGCTGGATGGTCACAGCTTCCTTGGAGCATTGCACCTGCTGGAATCCAGTTTCAGGATTAAGGGAGGACTGCCTCTGGTGACAGGCTGCCAGGAAAGTGCTGTGCTTGTTCTTAACCTCGGGCTCTGTCTATGATCAATCTGAGACTCTCTCCCAGGTCTTCTGCTCCCTGGAAAGGCCTCTCTCTCTGCAGGCTCGCCTCTGGACTTTGTCTCTTTGGAGCCACATCACTGGGACACCTTCGGATGTGGATGAGGATTTGAACCATGTCGCGGCCCCAGGGACTGCTATGGCTTCCTTTGTTATTCACCCCGGTCTGCGTCGTGTTAAACTCCAATGTCCTCCTGTGGATAACTGCTCTTGCCATCAAGTTCACTCTCATCGACAGCCAAGCACAGTATCCAGTTGTGAACACAAACTATGGCAAAGTACGAGGCCTAAGAACACCGTTACCCAATGAGATCTTGGGTCCAGTGGAGCAGTACTTAGGGGTCCCCTATGCCTCACCCCCCACTGGAGAGAGGAGGTTTCAGCCCCCAGAGCCCCCATCCTCCTGGACTGGCATCCGAAATGCAACCCAATTTGCTGCTGTGTGCCCCCAGCACCTGGATGAGAGATCTTTACTGCATGACATGCTGCCCATCTGGTTTACGGCCAACTTGGATACACTGATGACCTATGTTCAAGATCAAAATGAAGACTGCCTTTACTTAAACATCTATGTGCCCACAGAAGATGGTGAGTACGTCATTGAAACAGAAAACAACACCCTCTTGTACAGTGTATAACGAGATTTACCAGTAAGGTTTTATAATGTCTCATGCATGATCCTTTCGATAACCTGTTTATTTTATTTTAATTTATTTTTCATATTCATAATGCAATTCTTGCAACAACTTACCACGTGTTCCACTTTTATATATTGGGCCATCTACTGGATAGACAAAACTGTAAATAATGACTGTAATTATTTTCATATTTTGCCTTCTTAATGTTTTATAATGCTTATTTGCAGATGAAAATAAATATGATCATATAATGTTGCATGTTATACCTGAATGATCTGTAAACAAATAAGTCTATAGAAAATAATAGAATTTTAAGACTATTATGCTCCAGTTCGCAAACTGAAAGATAGCAAAAATGTTTTTTTCTGCCTTAATTACTTAAGATATTAGCACCTTTTTAAAGTTTTCTTTTCTTTTCTTTGAGATAAAATTTTGCTCTTGTTGCCCAGGTTGGAGTGCAATGGCATGATCTCAGCTCACTGAAACCTCCGCCTCCCAGGTTCAAGAGATTCTCCTGTCTCAGCCTCCCCAGTAGCTGGGATTATAGGCGCGTGCCACCACGCCTGGCTATTTTTTGTATTTTTAGTAGAAACGGGATTTCACCATGTTAGCCATGCTGGTCTTGACCTGCTGACCTTAGGTGATCTTGGCCTCCCAAAGTGCTCAGATTACAGGCATGAGCCACTGCACCCAGTCTTGAGTTTTTAAAGAAAAACTTGATTTTTTAAATATACAAGCAAGAGATAGTTCATACAATGGTTGGATTTCATTGTTTAGAATCCATTTTCTTCACATAAATTTAGATCTTGTTTTCTTCCAATATTCGCTGCAATCAAATGACAAAATATAATCAGATCATTAGCTACATTAGAGATGAATGTATTTATATTTTTTTAAATTTCCTTTATTTCTATAAAACAACAATGAAAGTCTGTAGACACAATAACATTTAATATATTAACCTAGTGTTAGCGAAACATGAATAGCTTTATGTCCATAAAGATTTCAAATTCAGACTTCCTAGGAAGAATAACCAGACTGAAGTGATGCCACAGTGGTGTCACGTTTCCCAGTTAGCATTCCCATATGCCATTTTTAGATGAGGAGAAAGAACAACAGAGCATAAAATAGAAGTGGAAAGAAAGGAAGCAATTTGTGGGAATGATAGACTTACCTAATGTAAAAACCAGAGTGTGTCCTTTGTATAAAGTTCTTTGTGGAAAGTGCGATAAATTTCTTTTATGGATAAACTTTCCTCTCTTCTTTTTTTTTAAACTTCAATCCCTGGAAAACATTTTTTCGGTAAGATTTGGCTAAAAATGTTAAATAAGCAAGTACATTAATTCAATGATCTCCAAAATTGTGTTGCATCTATCAGATTCCTTTTTCTCCATGTAAATGCCAAGTGGTCTAAGTAGAGTGTCATGAAAAACCAGACCAGGTTTGTGTGTCATTGAGATTACAAAGAACAGCCCAGAGAAAGAAATTAAAGGACTGGGCTTCATTAGATTAGTGATGTCTGGCATATTGCCCTTGTCGTTATGGTGACAGACCTCACAATTATCTCATAAAGTCCAGGTCTGAATGTGATTCAAGGAGTTAAACTGACATTTGGACACTGTACTTTCAGGGGTGTTCTGAGCTGTCTCTGTGCCTAACAGTCCTGCTTTGTACGTGTGTGAGATGAATAAGAGCTCTCAAAAGCAATTAGGGTTCTCATTTGAGCAGCCACCTGGGTCGAGGTCTTTCTCATAATGAACTATTCAAACAAAAACTAAAAAGGAAGGAAGACAAAAATGGTGAGCAAACCCGCCCCCAAACAGGACAAAGGATTAAAATTGCTTTCATGATACTTTGGATGTGCTAGAGTCTAGGAGCTGGTGGTATTATAGAGCTAGCCTTGGCAACAATGAATGCACTTCAGATAGAATGTCTTCTTACATAGGATGTTGGACAGAATGAGACCACCCATGAAAAAAACTCAATAGCCTCCCTGACTGTAGAGCTATATGTACAATTGTGTGGATGGAGACCACAAACAGTGTGGCCATTTCATTGTGATTCAGTACTGAATTGTAACTTGGGGCTATTCAGTGGAAAAGTAATCCAAACTTTATGATAAACCCATTTCTACTTGTTTAGTTCTTTAGGCTTTTTGAAGCAATATGTGTATGTGATCTTAACAAGGGAATCAGAAATCTAATAGTGACTGAAAAGGTAGAATCAGTCTCCCCAGGATGTATAAACTTCAGAATTTTGCTGGTGAGAGTTCAAAGCTACAGCCCTGCATGTTTGTACAAACCACAGGTTTTTGGGCTATTGGGTTAGGAGTTTTTTGGTTTGCTTGCTTGTTTTCTTAACTCTATCAACCTAAGAACCAATGCAGAGCTTTAGGTATTTAATTACTGATTATTCACTAAATGAGTGAACTCCCCATTGAAGTGCTGGCGTCATGCTGATTCTCTCCAAAGGCCTTCCATTAGGCAGTATCTCAATTCATATCAATGCTTTTACTTTTATTTACCAGGATAGATAGCAATATTATTATTTGGAATTCAGAATTCTATTCTGACCAATCTGATCAAGGCAGAAAGAGAAAGCTAAATAAAAAGTAGATCTTTTTGTTAAAAAAAACTTTTTTGTACTTTGTTACAAGTAAACAAAAAAAAAATCCACTTTTTTTGTTTAGCTTTGTCTTTCTGCCTTGATCAGATTGGCTCAAATTTCTGTTTCTACTTTCATAAAATGTGTAGGTGTATTAAAAATACAAAATAGACTTTATTTTAGAAGTATCCTTAAATTTAAGGAATAACTTGTGTGAGGAAAAGTGTTAGAAATTTCTTTGTAGTACAGTATTTTAAGAAACATGTTTTTTTTTTTACTGTAGAAAGCAATACTTTTTATAATCCCCTTTAAAATAAATCAGGTCTTGCTGAAGGTGAATCTTTTCCTTTAAATTGTCATCAAGCTCTACTAAACTTAGGCTTGGGTCTTTATAACTATTTCCCACCTTACAGATTTCTTTATTTAAATTTTCATAGGTTATTAATTTCTCTTTGGTGTCTAGATGACAGGCTAATTAGTTAACTTGAATTGCATATTTAACCTTTTGATAGGTGCTCAAATAAGGTCAAAATCAGTCAAGCCTGTAGTAGGACACGTGGGCCATTGTTGACAAGGAACATTTGGGGACTGAAGCTGCATGGGTGTGTGTGTGTGTGTGTGTCCGAGAGAAAGAAAGAAAGCAGAGAGAGAGTGACTGAGTGACTACTTCGAGGAAGCAATGAAGAATATGGCTTGGTAGTTTGGTTGAACACAAAGTATGAAAGTCAAACTGAGTAGTTCAAATCTCTTATACTAAGTCCACACCAGTTCATACATGGGGGATGGCACTACAACTCGTGATTTCTCTTGGCCACTAAGGAGACTGAACACAGAAAGATGAGCTATGGAAACACTTCAGGTTTTTAGTGAGAACCCTTGGTATTGTTTAGAAGTAGGGTTAAAAAGTAAGGGAAAAATAAAAGACACATTTTGAAGAAGTTGCTCAGACAATCTTGTCTGAAAATAAAGTTTGAAGGAGAAGGAGCCACAAGCGAGTCCAGGGTGCCTTGGGGAATGGACAGAGCTAAGGAACCACTTCTTGAGTGACATACACCTGTGCTTTCTTTCTGTATCCTTGGACATACATCTTAAGGTCTTATTCTTGAAAGATTTTGGGGTGAGAAGCCCTTCCATTCTTTGTCATGGGACTAAAAACACTGAGAATTAAAGAAAAATACAAATGAAAGTCATTATCGCCCAGGCTTGGTGGCTCATGCCTCTAATCCCAGCACTTTGGGAGGTCATGCCAGGTGGATCACTTGAGGTCAGGAATTCCTGACCAGCCTAGCCAATATGGTCAAACCCCGTATTTACTAAAAATACAAAAAATTAGCTGGGCATGGTGGCATGCGCCTGTAATCTCAGCTACTCAGTAGGCTGAGCAGGAGAATCACTTGAATTCGAGCAGTGGTGGGAGGTTGCAGTGAGCCAAGATCACGCCCCTGTACTCTAGCCTGGGTGACAAAGTGAGACTCTCTCTCAAAATAAATAAATAAATGAAAAGAAAAAGAAGTCATCATCGTTGTGTTTTTGTTGTAGCATAACAGAAAATGCCATTATAATTTCTAGAAAAGTGAAATTCTGGGATTATTCTTTGCTAGCAATACAATTGAAAAAGGAAGATATTAGAAAAGCGCAGATGATTGAATGCAAGGTGTCCCTATCATCTTTTCCCCTAACACTTTGAATACTATGACTTAAGTGAGCTTGCCATGATTATTGATTGAGGACCTATTCTGTGAAAGTCTGGAGCTTTGTGATGAAATAGAAACAGATGCGGCATGGACAGTGACCTGCAGGAATTTGTACAATTTGTAAACCTAGAGGTAGATAATAAGCCAGAGCATCCTAGTCAGGGAACAGCTCTGTGACAGCTCAGGGACAAGCCATTTTTTGAGGAAAACTTGATGGAAGTTGTAAATGGTTGTGCTGTGCTGTGAAGAATATATGGGCTATGTAAGGGATTCATGTAATAAAGCATCTGATGAGTGAAACATTTGAACACAAAAATCCATGTTTGTTAAGCAGCTTGGTGCCAATCGTTGCTCTTGTTACTACCTGGGTGTTAAGTGTGGAATGGTAACAGAAGCTCGGCTTTAGCATGGGCTCTTTCTTGCAGAGCCATTACATAAAAGTTGTTGTTGTTTTTTTTTTTTTAGAGACGGTCTCGCTCTGTCACCCAGGCTGAAGTGCAGTGGTGCAATCATACCTCACTGCAGCCTCTACTTTCTGGGCTCAAGAGATTCTTCTATCTTAGTTTCCTGAGTAGCTGGGACTACAGGTGCACTCCAACATACCTGGCTAATCTTTTTATTTTTTGTAGATATGGGGTGTCACTACGTTGCT